CTCATTGCCAAATAGTGGAGGATTGCCTAGGAGATGTGATTGTTGGATTGTGTGAAGAAGACCTCGGCTCACCGTCCTGTTAACCAAATCTGTCCGTGTTGAACTCTTGTCCATTCAGCCGTGATGGATATGTTGACAGTTGCAGAAAGCGTTAGTGACGAAAAATTCACCGAAGCACTAAACCAACAATGCTGACAGGCTGAAATTCTACCTACTTCTTACGCCTAAATTCGCGATTTCAATGAGCTATTTTGTGCTTCAAATGGTTGCCAACAGCGAAGCCAAGTTGATGCATAAAAAGGGAGCGATTGTGGTCACATCTGATATCCTACTTAAACAAAATAGCGTATTCTCCTGTGGTAAGGAAGCTTCGAGACGATCAGTAATGCCCTAACAAGAAATTAGTCAGCCTAGGTCGTTTGAGATGAGTTAATGTCTAATGAGTTTTCGCACAATAAGGAGATCGCGCGTCACGATGTCACGAAATGTCATTAACACCTCCCGTCAAGAGGGTCAACTCATCCAGGCTTCAGTTTCGACCTTGCCTCCTCCTCCTACTTCATTAGTACCCATACGGGACTCGAACCCGGGTCATGAGCATCGTGGCGGCGTTACCACTCCACTCAATCCTACGGTCAAAAGTGCCCATGAGTCGCAGAGCAGATGCGACCCTGGGACAAGAAAGCATTTTTGGGAGGCATTAAATAAGTTAAATTCATTTGCAACTACGAAATAGGGCGAACACAGCTCTTATGTCAAAGATAATGACAGTCTCTAAAAAGTGTTTATCAAGAAAAAAATTAAGTGAAATTGTCCCTCACCGTTGCCTCTTCCAATCTCCTGCTCACCAGGTTTCTTTAAACAAGAATGTCCACGACTTTTCTGATTTTACGATTTCGCCTATTTTCATCGCGTGAGGCTTTCCAATTGATGTTGTTGCCTGTAAGAACAATGTCTTCTCCTGTTTCCGAACTCCTATTCTCCATAACAGTGCAAATACGCTGTTGTTCTTCAGTGCGTCCTTTGCTTGTTGCCTCCGTCTCCACAATTCGACGAAGACGATGCTCAAAATCGGGACCCTACAGAGTCAACAAATCTACTAAAGTGAATGGTTAAGGGGCGGTGCCACTTAAGCTGTCCCGGCAGCCCCACGAACGGCATCTGAAACCGACGCTGAAGGTGAGTATGCAAAGTGAAATTAAAAGAAGATTAGGACAAATGAATAGAATGAAGACACGAAGAGGAGTAGATGGGCAAATGAACCAAAGGAAAAGGGTTCGAGGGGTTAGGAAACGGCACACGGAGATAGGACACGAAGAGGTTGGGTGCCAAGAATGGCGGCTCTCACTGACGATGCCGGCGAAATATCGTGGAATATACCAAGTTAATGGTTGTATGCTTGAAATTATCATGACTTGGGTGGCAGGGGATGCAGGACTGGCATCTGCTGCCCCAAATCAAGTTGCGAAAATGAGCTCGAACCAACATTATACAACCAGAGGCAGTGAGAAAACTAAAAGGCCAGACTTTATTTATGCATAACATTTTCGAGAGATGTTTTGACCTTGTTTTCACAACTTGGTCATATTAGCAGGAGGGCCTAAAGGAACGCACTTCGTTCGGAGAGTCCATACTATACATGATCATTTTCAGTCGGACCATGGATTCGGTGCGTCCCTCTAGGTCTTCCTAGTAATATGACGAAGTTGCGAAAACAAGGCCAAATAAGGTATATACAACTAAATGAGAACCCGACCATACAAAAAGCCGCACCATCCTGAACTTCAAACCTTCGATTGTCGAGAAATGATTAAATTGGCCAGTCCTCTTTTTCAAAATGCATATTTCTACTGGTAATGGATTTCAGTAGACGCAGCAACTAGAATAAAAATAACTCCTATTTATTCTTTTTACATGGCCATGCGATAAGGTATATTTGTACTATTTTAATGCCATAGCAACGGTTGTCTGAACAGGGCTTGCAAAGGTACTGTAAAGGCTGTGGCAAAGTTTGTAAGTAAATCAGATAACTAAGATGGAGTAGCTTCATTAGCTTCATCTACTCCCGCGCGACTCGTACAAAGCATTGGACCCTGGATGAGAAGAGGATGAGGAGGAGGAGGTAAAAGCAGAGTATAGTCTCTGCACAAAAAGATGTGGTGAATAGGTCTTATATGCATGAACTAATGATAGTCTCAAAACCTACCTATAAACGAGAATGTGTAGTGAAGTAAATTGCCATTGCAAACAAAACTCTGCTTCATTGACGAACCTAACACAGAAAGGGATATGGAAAAGGCACTGCCTTCCTTTAAATTCACTTCTTCACGTTCTTAATCACTAAAATAAATATGGTGACTTATTCTTATATATATATATATATATATATATATAGTGGTAGTGATGAAACCTACTTATAAATGAAAAGTGAAAACGACTTTAAAAGGAAAATAGTTTTTGATTAAATTATCCGTGATATAATTGTGTTCGCAGCAAGCGATAGTAATAATAACAATTTAGTTTGGGTGTTAGATACAATATTGCTGAGCGGCTAAGCTCTGCATGAAGGTAAGCATGTGAAAATTCTCGGAAAAGCGTAAGGACCAAAATATTGAGATAAGCTAACGCACACGTATCGTAAGCTTGGACAAGGAAATAGAAAACGTTTACGGAAAGTTATGAATTTAGTAGGAGAGCACTAAAATGGATATAACAAATAAAATTATGGCGCAATTCAAGGAAAATGAGGGATGGAAAATATTTAGTGGTTTGACTAGAAATAGGATTTAAAAGCAGTTAAAAGAAGGGAACTGAGGTAAAATCCATAAAAACCCATAAATCCTTAACTAAACAAGAGCTTATCTATTTAATGCATTGATGATCCTTGGAATTATTTTACAAGAGCTATTTTCTGTAGAACTTGCCAATGAATTGTAGTCTGAAAAACATATTTTTTTGTGTAATTTAGTGAAATTAAGTTTTTTTAAATAAATAAGCAAGAGAAGTAGAATAATTACATCTAGCTTTTAGAGGCAAAGGAGGGAGTAGAAGAGAGTTTAAATAGAAACTTCAACAAGAGATAATAGATGGCTATGGATTATGGAAGAGACACGAGAAAAAGGTGCTCCCACAAAAATGCAGCCAAAAAGTGAATAAACTGCGAATGGGAGTGTACGAACAAGCTTGATGACGTCATAGCTATGCCAACCGAAGATAAACATTTTTCCTGTCTTGAGCATTCACAAGAATTAAACAAATCCATTCATTAAAAACAAATACTAATGAGTACAGTGAAAAATTAGCCGAAAATGCACTCAAAACGGTGTGAAGACTGAAAAATTTAAACGCAAGGGCCCAAAGTAGACCGGAAAGGGATAGCACCAAAATCGAAAAAATCGT